GGGGCAAGGACAGTTAGAGGCTGCAGCGGCAGGTGTGTGGAGGGGGAGGACGGTCAGAGGCTGCAGCGGCAGGTGTGTGGGGAGGACGGTCAGAGGCTGCAGCGGCTGGTGTGTGTGTGGGGGAGGACGGTTAGAGGCTGCAGTGGCAGGTGTGTGTGGAGGATGGTCAGAGGCTGCAGTGGCAGGTGTATAGACGGACAAACCAACAGGACTGACTGCCGTAAATCATACTGTGTTTGGAATTCCTTCTAAGTGAGATGTTTCTGGTAACTTTCACCACAAAAACTCCAAAATACTGAAAGGTAAGTCTGTGAGATGATGGCTGTATTCCTCCACTAATCCCTTTACTGTCTATGTGTATCCCATGATTATGTGCAATAAAGTTTATTTCTAAAAGATAAAGGAATATCATTGTGTTTCTTTTCAAAATGAATACAGATAAAAGTTCACCCCATGTTTGAGTTTTGAGATAATGGTTCAAGGAGAGGCAACATGGAGTCTTCCTGGATGTGACACTGTCATGTGGAGACTTTCTGGAAAATTCACTTGTATAGCTCCAGGGTCTGATGTTAAATTGCAAAAGATTTCCCATTTTGGACTTCAACTCAATAGTAACTCATAGGCTACTCCAGCTTGACCAGGGTTGCCCGAGAACCTCAATGGTAGATTAAAAAATCATATCCACACGTCATCAGGCCACACATCCAGCAGAGGAGTCAGCAGCAGAAGGGGATGGACCGCCCCACAGTCTCCGAGCAAGCTAAGCGTGGGTGCATGTAGCGCTGTGGTCTGGGTCTTCACGACTCTGCGCCAGTCTGTCTGGATGTTGGGACTTGACCCTGGGCCTTCACACATTCTAAGCTTTGTTCTACCTCAGAGTCACAGCTCTAGACCTCCTTCTCTTAGATGAGCCGCACCACAGTGAGATGAAGTCCTTTCTGTTGTTGACTGCTATGGAACCTGCACTCAGATAACAAAGAATTGCTGACCACCCGGAGGTCAGCATGTGAAGGAAACTCTTTAATAGGGACACAGTCTGGAGCAGTGACAGATATTAACAAATAGTCCTGAATGCTTATGTACATAACTGTAAGTGTGCAAAGAGCTAGGTGAGGAATCAACCCTGTGGGGATGCTAGCTCCACCCAAGGTGGGCCATGATTTGTTGATCCTGTACGATGACTTTCACCCTTGGTTATTTCTCACAGATATTTACATAATGTGGAGGCTCCTTAAACCATCTGATTCCAAGTTCTTTTTTCCTTCTTCTGCTCAGTCATTCTGCCTCTAGGACGACAGGTATCATAGATGGACTAAATTCCCACAAACATCCCCATCCTTTCTTAAAATTACTCCAGCTGGAGGATTTTAACTGAGTCCCTACATCTGTGCTGTACCAGGTCTGAGACACCATGCCCTGGAATCTGTCATCATCCTAGTTACCCAGTTCTTATTATAAATTCCTTACATTCATCTCAAAAGCATACCTTTTGACTCCATAATTGAACAAAATCTTGACGATCACTTCCCTCTCTTCTCCATCCCCCTCTTAAATCACTCCCATCATGATTTCATTGGCCTGCCCTGTAAACACACTCTCTTCGGAGGATCCATCAGGGTCTTTCCATCATGCCAAAATCTTTGTACCTAATTCCAGGAGTCTGTAAAGAGGAGATGTCTACACATTGGGTTTTCCAGCAAACACTAAACCATGGGACATTTTTACATCAAGCAGATTTGAATTTGAGACCCAGTTTCCACCTGGAAGAGCTCAGAATTGATTCAAGTTTCTTGGTGTCTTTCCCTAGCAATGGCTCACCCTGGGATTATCCCCTCTTTCTATCTTTTCAGCCACACCCATGAGCTTTCCCTGAGCACCCTTCTTTTCTTTTCCTTTGTCCCCAAGTTTACCCCAATCATTTTTTTGTTTCCAAAAATGACTCCCTCCTGGAGTCTCCTGGCTGTCTGGAAGCCTCAAATCTTCACGGGTGGCCCTGGTTGCCTCTTCTTCCACGCGCCAGCCTTCTCCTCTGCTCCTCTGGCCCAGCCTGATTGTGAGAGCTAAAGACCAGGTGGAACTGGACAGCAGAAATAGAAAGAACTGGGTTTCCTTTCTCTTGGCATCCTTTGTCCCCGCCCAGTGAGCATCCTGGGGAGAGAATCCTGGTCTGCCTGGCAGAGAGCAGCATGTCCAAAGCAAGTTGGCCTCGAGTCAGCATTCAGCCTGGGTCAGTGTTTTCTCTCTGTTGAGAACTTGGGCCAAGTTTGGCCAAAAGCCTACTCAGAATCCAGTTCTGGAATATGCATGTATTCCTCATCTCTGTCTACTCTCCCCGGAGAGCTCAGGAGGCCAGAGGAACTGTTCCCACACCGGCCTCTCAGCAGGGTGGGTTGACAACACTTCCTCTCCAGGAAAAGAACTGGAGTTGAACTTTCCTTTAACAAAATCTAATAGAGATTTAGTACTAGAGAGTAACATCCTTTTCACAGAAAAGTCAGCCACAGGAGTGTTTTCAGCAGAGCATGCCTGGGATACGTTGAAAACACAATTCAATTACAAATGCATCTAAGATGGTTCTAGGATTAATTATCAAGATTGCGTTCAGTTCTGAAGTCAAAGACTCATTACGCAAGCAAAGCTTTGACCAGGCACAGTGGGGGAGGGGCGGGGTGGGGGGAGACAGTATGGGTCTTGCCTGTTCACCTTTGCTCTTGTCCTGGCCTTCTACCCCACCCTGTCTCTGTCTCCCCCTGCTATCCTTTTCTAAGGTGTGGCTATGAAATCTAACCATCACACTGAAATGCAGCAAGGTAGACATTCACCACACATTATTAAAATAAGATAACTTAAATTACACATTCAAATAAGGATGATCCTTTAAAATTGCTTGACTTAAATTTATTACAACAATGCTGTTATTACTTAAAACCTCATTTTGGAATTTATCTCTTTGAATTACTTTAGAATTACATCCAGACCCAGTTTATGAGCCAGACAAGAATTATAGACTCAAGGAGAGGTCTCAAAATATAATCTGGTATATATGAAGAAGCTGAGAGCCCACAGGGTTTATAAACAGATTTTTCCCAACATCAAAAATTTGTTATTTCGTTCTCTTGTAGAATAACCCAGCCCCAAATGACAGGCCTATTTGCTCATTAGTCATTTGATTAATCGACTCAAATGTCTTTATTAAGCCTGCAGAGATTACAGCATATGAGCCATCATTTATTAAACATTTCTATGTGCCAACACCTGTGAAAGTCACTTATCACAACAAAAACCACACACCAGTGATATCAGAATGTCCAGTTCAAGGAGGAGGTCACCGAAGCTCAGAGCCATAAGCTCCAGTCAGTGACAGAATATGAATGAAGCCCTCTGCTTTCTAAGCCTGTGCAATATTCATAACTCAGGGTACACTGAACAAAGCCACAGATTGTTAGAGTTGATCGAAGATTGTTGTTATTGTGAGAACTGGAAGAGATTCCAACCTTCACCAAAGCATTCACTATAAATCACACACACCACACTCACACACTTTGTATACAAGAGGTTACAGAATGCTGGTCCAAATGGAGCATTAAAAAGAATCTAGCCGGGCGGTGGTGGCGCACGCCTTTAATCCCAGCACTCGGGAGGCAGAGGCAGGCGGATCTCTGTGAGTTCGAGGCCAGCCTGGGCTACCAAGTGAGTTCCAGGAAAGGCGCAAAGCTACACAGAGAAACCCTGTCTCGAAAAACCAAAAAAAAAAAAAGAATCTAATCCAAACCATTATATTTTAAGTGAACATACTGTAGCCTAGAAAAGTTTGAAGCCTTGTTCCCAACCTCATTAGTGACGAGCTGTGGACCCAGGATTAAGTAAGGTTATATAGTCCATATCCAGAGCCCCTCCCTTGAACTAAATGAAAGATTCACAGCCATGTTCTCAGTTCCAGGCAACAACCTGGAGGTGTGGCAACTTCAGGACACCAGCCAACCCAGGCATAACCCATGCCCTTCTTAGTAAATCATTGTTAGATATTTGGAGGTCTCTCAAAGCAACACACTCAAGCATTGTCTCAGTTCTGAGGCCGGTAGTCTTCCCATGACACGGAGAACACAAAACAACTCACTCTGAGCAACTGTCATTCTGGAGTCCTTCAACTGAAAGACATCTGAAAAGAAAGTCACATGGAAGACATCAGAACACAGAACATCTCTGGCCACTTTTATAAGTTAGGGCTAGAGATGGGGAAGATTTATGGCTTACCAAACTGAAGCAGTTAGCCCAGGGAACATCTAGGTGGTAACTGAAGAATTCTCAGAGCTCAGTGTTCTCTTCAGTGTTAGCAAGTTGCCTCGTACCTCTTCTGTCTGAGGGGCCTTTGCCTGCCGTGGGTGGGATGCCTCTTGGCAGTTCTTAGGCACAAGTCTACTCTGAAGAGAAGATTGCTAACATGTCAGAGCTTCTCATACAAATTCACCTCCTTGGGAATGTTAACGTGGCAAGAGCAGGCTAATGTGGCTCTGCTGATGAGAGTTGCATTTCAGGGACAGGACTGTTCACAATCTGTACTGGCTGGTTTTACGTCAATTTGGAACAAGCTAGACTCATCAGAGAGAAGCCTCAATTGAGAAAATGCCTTCATAAGATCTGGCTGTAAGGCATTTTCTTAATTAGCGATTGATAGGGGAGGGTCCAGCCAATTGTGGGTGGTGCCCTCCCTAGGATGGTGGTCCTGAGTTCTAAAAGAAAGCAGGCTGAGCAAGCCATGAAGGGCAAGCTAGTAGGCAGCTCCCCTCCATGCCTCAGCTCCCGTCTCCAGGATCCTGCCCTGTGTGAGTTCCTGTCCTGATTTCCTTCAGTGATGAACAGCAATGCTGAAGTGTAAGCCTGATCAACCCTTTCCTCCCCAACTTGCTTTTTGGTTATGGTGTTTAATCACAGCAATAGAAACCCTAACTAAGACACCATCATAACTCATACCACATAAGAAAAGAATTTTGATGAGGAGAGATGTTATATTTTAGATGTCAAAGTTTACTGTAGAATTTTTTCTGCAAGCTTAAATCAATAAATCAATACTATTATTAATAATAATAACATAAAAGGATTTTCTGCCACTCTGTTGACAATAACTAGGAAATGGAAACAATTCTATATGTTGGTGTGTAACTTTTTTCTGACCAATTACATCTTGTGTGCTTTTTAAAGTGTCTACAATGCACATGCATTAGTTTTATAGTTTAAACAAGAGAAAAATGGTCTCTCAGAAGGCAGTTCTAGAACTTTCTAACATACCAGGGAGAAAGAGTGCCTCAGAACTTGCCATGCTACTCCTAAGCTACCCAGCGATCCCTGTTCCCCGAGGAGTAGAACACAGACTGTCGGTGGTGCACCCGGGAGGCCGCTCAGCATCCTTGTCTACTCCGTGGCCTGCTGCCTGACTTCCACTTCCACACCTCTTCTGTGCTTCTTTCTTCGGCACCCTCCTCTGCCGGAACTCGTTGTCTCCTCTAGGGACCATGTCAGCGTGTAGCTCAGCGACCCCTTCTCTGCAAAGACCCTGCGCACCCTCCTCTCTGCACCCCCACCTTGCCTTCCCAGCCTGTTTCCGGCTTGTCTTCCAGTGAGTCATGGTGCTGTTCATCCTTGCTGACCATGGCATGAGTATTGTTGGATGCCATTGGCTCTGCTGTGCCCCTCCCCTACAGTAGATTGTAAGGGGACCAACGGCCTGTCCCCTCAGGTGGCCTGTCCCCTCAGGTGGCCTGTCCCCTCAGGTGGCCTGTCCCCTCAGGTGGCCTGTCCCCTCAGGTGCCTCCCAAGAAGCCCTGGCTGTGCTCTGTAAGGACACACTAAATCCGACTAATGATGTTAATCTTTGTGGTGGGATGTGGCACAAACATGTCAAGGGTCCCCTGGTCCTGCTGCTGCCTCCCATGCTTATCAGTTCCAGGTGTAAACTGTCAGCCCAGGTCCTTCATTTGGCTGTACCCACTGTCTGTCACTTACTCAGGTGCCCTGAGCTAGAGAGTGTCAACTGTCCTTCAGTACACAGAGTTGTGTGTGTGTGACTCTGTAGGACACTATAAATAAGTGGGGATTTCTCCCCTTTTGGCCTGTATAATTTATATGTGTATGTGTGATATATGACACATGCATGTAGGCATATGTGTGGCATAGCACACATGTGGCAGTCAGAGGACAACTTGGGATGTCAATCTTTCCCTTCCGCCTTGTTGAGGAAGGGTCTCTGTTGTTTGCCACTGTGCTACTGATGCTCAGCTGGCTGGTCCTCAGGCTTCTGAAGGTTCTGTCACCACTGTTTCCCATCCTCCTGCAGGAGCAATAAGATTGTAGACTACACGACTGTGCCCAGATTTGAACTCAGGGCTTCATGCTTACACAGCAAACATTGTAGCCCACTGACCATCAGCCCACTGTCGTGTTTTAATTTCCTTTCAATATTAATTCAAATATGTACTCTTTCTAGCATCAACTCGGTCAGCAGAGGGGCACCAACATCGCATTCTATCAGCAGTTTCTTAGATGACAAAGGTACTCTGTATTCTTATGTCACAGCCCAAAGCTAGACTACATTACCCAGACTTCCTTGCAGTTTGCTGTGACCATATGACCTTGATCTGGACAAGGATACAGGAATGGCAGTGTGAATATACTTCCTGCCCAACTCATAAAAACACTCCCATAAATGGCTGGCCCTTCTCTGTCTCTTTGTCTTCTGGTGAGATGTTGACAGTGGGGTAATTTGGAAAGCTGAACACAAAATAGCCTCCCTCAGCCCAGGCCCCTGGGTGTCTACGGAGCAGAGTGGTCTCGCTCCATAGCTGGTGGGTGTGTGGTGGCATGATGGTTCAGAGACTTTAGATTCATTAATAGCATTTGGAATGATCTTAAATGTTGTTCCAGTCACACATTAGCCACGTTTTGAGCAGTACACTATCATCATTTAGAATCATGGCTTCTCCAAGAAAGAGTGGGCAGTCTTCTCATTAACACTTTCCAAATGAAGGCATGAGGTAACGCCATTGTTATTTACTAGGTACACATTTAGTCAAAGTAGCAAAGGTTACTTCTTCTCATTCTAAGCATAGAGTTGGCAACACCTTTTTGGGTTTTTTTGTTTGTTTGTTTTTGTTTTTTGTTGTTTTGTAAAGGATTCGATAGTAAATATTTTAGGCTTTGTAATGCACTTATAGTCTCTGTGGCCCTTAGGTCAATAATAATAATTTGATTATTATTGCTTTTAGATAGTTCTTTACATACATAAGAACCATTCATAGCTCATATATCTTACAAAAATATACTACAGGCTATACTCAGCCAAGAGCCATGGTTTACAAGTTATAGCCCTTGGGCGAGACTGCGCCCACACCGCTCCACAGTTCAGGGCCCCTGCTGTGTCCAGCACAGCTCTGGAGACAGACCCGACTGGAATGTCAAGGGAATGAAGAGAAGACAGAAAGACACACTGACAGAAAGCTGGGCTCTCTGCTAGAGAAGCCACAGCACCCCAGAAGCCCAGTGTGCCTATCACACAGGGTTTAGCAGAGAGGTGGGGTTATCGCACCCAGCTGAACAAAAGGCAGGGTTACGGCAGACAGCTGGCCCGAGGAGCCGCGGCTAGCAGTCTCTGTGGAGGAGCAGTCCTTAGGCTGTAAACGGCTGTGGGGAGAAAGCCTCGGTGGCATTTTTTGCACACACATGGGTCGGAAGGGGTTTGCCATTTCCCTCTGGGTCTGAGGGTGGGGTTCTTTGACATAGCACACATTCACTCAGGACCTCACACACTCAGGGATTCCTCCATCCCCCCAGCTCCCAGTGCCCCTCAGTCCTCTTCTAAGACAACAAGCCATGAAACGTGCTGCAAATGGAGTCTCTGGTGTCTGCCTCCTCCTCCATCCTACCACTTCCTTAAGCATGGGGGCTTGCATTCACCTCCTTTCCCCAAGGTCATAGCAGAGACACCAGAGAATGTCCTTGACACATTTTGGTGACTAAATAAACGCACACATCTTTGTGTTCTAGAAGTTGATTTTATACCTCAGAACTTAAGTGTGACAAACAGAGCTGTCACAGAAACATGAAGCATCTGCTAAACGGCTCCCTTGAGCCAGCCCCTCTGAGAAGACAGGTCCTGTGCACGGCCCCGGGGGACTGGTGCGCGTCAACTCTTAAATATCCCCATGGTGTGCGTAGAAGGTGTGGTCCCCAGCCTCTAACATTGTCAGAGGTAGTGAAATCTTCAACAGGATGGGCCTAGTGCAAGGGAACATGGTTATTGGGGTGCACTTGAGGGGTTACTGAGACCCTGACCCCTCCTTATCCCATTAGTCCCTGGTTACCATAAGATGAGCATGTCTGTTCACCACACAGCTCCTGCCGTCAAGTTCTGCCTTACCAGTCCCTGATCGATAGACAGGCCAAGCGATCATGGACTGTGAGCCAAAATAGTGCCTTTCTTCACCTGATTTGTCCCAGAGTCGATCTCACACTACAGGACATGTGGACACGTTAGGAGATTTTTTTCACTGTCTGGAAGGGGCATCACTGGTATCCAGTGGGTGGAGGGTGAGTGTACCAAACAGAACAGCCCTCAAAAAGTGTTCTAGTCTGACATAGTAGTAGACCCCTGGAAAATTCCCATGGAGAAATCAGTTCTCTCAGTGTCCATGGCAGGAAGTTGCCAGGGTCATGTGTAGGCCCTGGGCAGCATGGTGACATGCTCTGGAGGAGAGACATCATCAAGGTGTCATAAAACCTTGATATTGCTGTGGAAAACCATCTGTGGGGTGAAAAATAATAGAGAATGGAAAAAGGAGGCCTTGGCTATAAATGGTGGCTGGGTTTTGTTCTTTTTAATTTATTCATATTTTATTGAGACAGGGTCTCATATAGCTAAGACTGGCATGAAACTCACCATGTAGCCAAGGATGACCTTAATCTCCCAATCTTCTCCCCTCCACTACCCAGTGCTCTGCTAAGACTCAAACACCGTGGTGCCTGGTTTACGTGGTGCTGGTGCTCACACACGGGCCTTCATGACACTGGGCAGGCACACTCCACCAACAGAGCTGCATCTCAGCTCTGTGTTCTTCTGCTCTTCACCTGAGGCACTGTGAGAGGTTTGGCCTCCACTTTTCTCAGGGGAAGAATGGAAATGCGTGTTTGATGAGCCACATCTCTATGCTAGAACCTCCTAACTGGGGGGTGGCTCAGCACGAGCTTCTAAGCTTCCTCCCTGGGCATTTTCTCAAGGGGAGAGACTTTTTTCCCCTTAGGAAGAACCTTGATATTG